TCCAGGTGTTAGTCTGTTGCAATCCGCATAGTTACTGGTGCGGAGAGAAAACTGTCCCTTGTCATTTCTATACAACTGGAAGGTGTAAAAGAGGGTCCAGTTGCCGATATCAGCATGCCGCTCCAGTTCCAGTCCCGACAAGGTTCCAGGAGGAACCATCTTTTAAGAGGGGGGCAATGTTACGATTTTAAATGTTATGGCATATAGAACTGTAAATATTTTATGACTAATTCTTTTTATTGATTCTCGTAATTTGTAGGTCAAAAATATACCTGAGCTTAGCTACCAGTTGTTTACCAGAAATCTCTAGACACTAATTTTGGTGAATCATCCACGTCTCGAGGTTGAAAAACGAGTCGAGCGCCTTCACCAAAATACGAGACTATTCAAGAAGTCCGCCGAATTTTCTGGATGACACAGTTGTGTATATAAATGAAAGATTTTTATTGAAGAAGTCAGTCATAAGAAGATCGGTAAACGCGGTTTACTTGTACGAAACGTGAAATAAATACATTTGTAAAGTTATTTAATAAATTAGTAATTAGCTATCGTGAGTTTTAATAAATTAGATTATAGACAATAAATTAGAATAAAGACATATAAATTCGAACTATATAAATATATAACAGTATTATTGTTAGATAAAATAAATTTCCATTAAGTAACTTATTCCTGTTACTGTTTATTCCTTCTCATATAGACCAGTTTCTCAAATTTTTTTTGTATACTCTTTTGTGTGTTTGTTTTGAGATTATCTTCCAATATTGCTTCTGTTTTTCCTCTACAGTCTTTCAGACTGAAGTCTTAGCTGTTCACTGGGTCACAGATCCTTCGTTTCGTTCTTTCGATCTTTTTAGCAATTTGGCCTGCTTTTTCGTTTACTTCGATGTATTGATGCACGTGTTCCAATCTTCCGGTTTATTCAATTCCCGATGCAATCTCTTCTTCTTCTTCTTAAGGTGCCTATCCGTTCCGGATGTTGGCGATCAACATGGCTATCCTAACTTTGCTTGCTGCTATTTTGAATAGTCCGGTTGTCGATGTATTAAACCACTTTCTCAGGTTTTGAAGCCAAGATATTCTTCTTCTCCCTGGTCCTCTCGTTCCAAATACCTTGCCGTGAAGAATGAGTTGCAACAAGCCGTATCTCCGTTCATTCCTCATAACATGGCCAAGATATTCTAGTTTGCGCTCTTTGATGGTGTTAATAATCTTGCATTCCTTGCCTATTCTACGTAGTACACAACATTAGTCACACGATCCACCCATAAAATTCTTAAGATACGTCTGTAACACCACATCTCGAATGCCTCCAGTTTTCTTAAGGAAGCTTCGGAAAGTGTCCAGGCCTCTACTCCGTATAATAAGGTAGAAAATACATAGCATCTAATGAGAGAGATTTTGGTAGCAAGTGGTAAATCATGACTTCTGAAAAGAGACTTTATCATTATGAACGCCGATCTCGCTTTTCCTATGCGTTGTTTTATTTCACTGGAGTGATCCCATTGGCTGTTAATGTTGGTACAAGGTATGTGTAGCTGTCCACTCTGTCAATTGGATGTTGGTTAACCAAAAGCTGTGTATTTAATATTTCGCGCTTACTGACTACCATGTACTTTGTTTTCTTCGTATTAAGATCAAGTCCGTGTTCTCTACTTATATGTGATATATGAGATATTATTCTTTGCAAACCGTCCAGACTATCTGCAAAAACTACTGCGTCGTCGGCATATCTAATGTTGTTTAGACGTATTCCGTTGACTAATACGCCTTCTTGTAGTTCTCCCAGAGCTTGCTCGAAGATATATTCAGAGTATATATTAAATAACACCGGGGACAGAATACATCCTTGCCTTACTCCTCTATCTATGGACACTGCTTCTGTCAATTGATCATCCACTTTAATATTGGCTGTTTGGTTGTAATATAAATTATAGATGATTCTCAAGTATCTATCATCTAACCCCACTTCTTTCAAGATGTTTATAAGTTTATCATGTTTTACTCTATCAAATGCCTTTTTGTAGTCGATAAAACAAATATACACATCGCAGTTAACATCCCTGCATATTTGCATAAGCACTTGGACAGCGAATAGAACCCCTCAGGTGCCTATGCAGTCTCACACTAGTCTAAACATCACTGCCTAACATGCCAACGACTTTAAAAACCCTTGACTGTCTGACAATATATCGACATCTGCGCTTTTTAAGAGCTTTCTCGTTATTTCTTCCGTGCACATTACAGTTTCACATAAATCTCCGCTTGGAAAACTTTCCAACTCTTTTCTTAGTGAAAGCTTTCGCTAACTGTTGGATTTTTTAAGTATACTTCTACCTCCACACCCTCACAAGTATTGGATGCATTTCTATACCAGATTTTACCCGGTTAATTGTGGTATTCCTTATTTCTCTCCTTGTCAGAAAAAGACACCGAGTATTAATTATTGCCCGATAATGGGTTCAGATTATTAAGTTTTTTAAATTAAAATATTTTTAAAACGATTTCTAGATTGAAATGTGTAATACACAAGTAATATTAAGTTAAGGGTGTGGCCGTCAACGCAGGACGTATTTTTTAAATTTACTGTGCGAATATGGATATTATTCTGTGGATTTTTGGTTTTTTTAAATTTTTTCGTACTTTTAATCATATTATAAATTCCCAATTTTATTGATATAATGACCTTGCCTTACTACTTGAACCACGTTTAAAAGTATATGTTTTATCCCTAAATAAGTAATAACTAGTAGCCTTATCTATTTAATGTTTTTCCATAAATTATTCTTCCTTCAATTACACAAATCAAGAAATTAGTGACACGTGAAAATGTTATAAAAAACCGGTAGTAATAATTTATTCATCCGTACAATAACATTAAAGCGCAGTGTCCGTAAATACCCACTTTTATGTAACATTTAGTGCTTATTGACCTAGACTAGTACCGCGGTTGAGATTGCAATGCTCACTTGCATTGGTATTAAAAAGTGTTGAGGGAACGAGACGCGATTGTAACACAAGGTTAATGTTATTGTAACACAGAAGCTTTTAATCGACTTGCATCACAAGAAGATTATGCCCACTTTTTTACTCACTTAATTGAATGCTAAATTTAATTATTAACATTTGGAAATTAAATGTTTCGGTATAGTTTCTCTAATCGTTACCTTATGTTTTATTACTACGCTTTCTGGAATATTAATTTTATTCTCTACAATTAATAACAATTTAATAATTGGCTATCTATATCCTACATAGACAAGGTAAAAAGCTTGCATTAGCATTATATCCTTGCTGTTTGCAGTTTAAGCATAACTGATTAGCTTGGGATAAAAAAATTCGATAGGATTTATTATCGTATTTGATCAAAAAAGATTCTGGTAAAGGATATAATATAACAGATTTGATAAAAACTTGTCTTTTAAAACTGTAAATATAATTGAATTTTACATGAATAAATTTCGGTAAGGTAAAACTAATCCGAAGAAAGGTCATTGATGTCATTAGCTTGAAACCTAGGTTTTCTAATTCGTGAATCCTAAGAATATCATGGGAAATTTAAGGGCATACATTTGATAGAACTAACCTATCAACTGGAGTAATCTATTTTCTACCTTGAACTGGTTTATCATTTATTAGTATTTCACCATCATGTACCTGCATAAAGTTATCACCAATTTCTTTGCTCGCTAGATACATGCATACTTGATTATTGGACTTCCTTAATGAAAATAAGATGTTATTGGGCTGTATAAGTGCTCTTAGTGGTATGAGGTAGTCCTGTAGGCGTACACTCAGAGCCACCACTGCTATCTAGATGGCTGGGAAGATCATCCTCCTCTTCATCAGTCGAATCGAAAAGTTCAGTGTGTCCAAGTGTTGGAAGCTTTTCCGTTCTTTTCTTATTGATTGCGGCTTTCTTAAGAGCAAGTTCTTCAATTTTTGCTTTTTCAAGGGTATTAGTTAGGTGCTAGAGTGCCCCGTTTTCTACCTCGCTAAGATTAGGCACAAGGTGCTGCCTTTGGGATAGAGCATGATGTCTTGTGAAGAAAAATGTTTCACATACATTATATCCGATGTTGGAGTGCAAGGTTTTAGGGTCCCAGACAACGTTGGTTCTATAGAAATTGATGTACTAGCACTAGGCGTTGGCTGTATTGGATCCAAAACTGATTCCTAAATCAAAGTTGGGTCTGGACGGTCCGTGACAGTGCTGGTCATAAATTCGTCGTCAGTATGTATGTAATATGTTTGGATTTATCGGCCATATTCCAGATACTTTGAACCCACTTATGCTATTTGAAGGAGCCATGGCTCGAGGGAACGCATCTCCAAGCAGTTTTGCAATGTTGTAAATGGTAATAGTTTTCCCGGGAGATATGAGCATAAAATTGGAAGCTGCTTAGAAGTAGTAAGTCTTTAGTGGATCAAAAACTGCGCGGTTTAATGGCTACAAGTTATGGAGGTGTGCGGCGGAATTGTAAGAGATAAGATGCCGTTGTCTTTCGCATAATTTACAGCCTCCAATGAGCAGTGGCTCTCATAGCTGTTCATAACAATTAAATGTTTTCGATCAAGGCTTGGCTAAGCGAAACGAAAAAAGTGTTCCAAAAACTTCAGAAAACCAGAGCAAGTCATCCATCCACTGGGATACTTTGTTGCATTGCTGCCAGGAGGTGCATGGCTTAGAAACCTGTCCTGCCAGTTTGTCATGCCATGTTCTGAAATAGCAGCCATTTGTGAAAACAAAGTATACAGTATAGCCCCTACCCAAGTGGGTCAACAGAACAGCAATAGGATATCATTGGGCACCAAATTTAAATGAGGATCAAGTATTTCAACGGGATCAACTATCCCAGCTCTCCCTTATGCAAAATGTACAAATTATTGATTTTGCACATTTGCCCAAGTCTAGTTGTTGCTCACTCTGTATAATATGGAAAATCAATTATTTCCTGTAATAAATAAATTTTAATAATTAATATAATTGATATTTTTAGTCAACAATGTTGGAAAACAATACGACTATCCCATGTACCTCTCAGAAGTACCCGAAAAGGATTTATTTGATATGATCAACATCAATGTGGGAGCAGTCACTTTACTATGCCGAGCCTTCATTCAAGACATGAAACAAAGAGGCCGAGGTGCAATAGTAAACGTATCTTCAGGGTCGGAGTTGCAGCCGTGGCCCCTAATGGCTGTATATGCAGCCACGAAGGTTGGTATTTAAATTACAAAAAATTAAATGGTCGCGATTTTATGACAATAAATGAATATTAATAATTATTTATGAAGTCTGCAAAAATTTTATGACGAGTTATATACAAATACTAACATTTTATTACCAATAAAAAATATTTAACATATAAGTAATAACTGTGTAAAAGTAAAATGATATTTTTTGCTAGATTGCTTATTATTGCTCATTATTATGCTATTAATTAATTATAAAATTCCTTACAGATTAGTTTTACTGTGGTGATTAAAGCCAACAATGTTGTCGATATTATTATACACTACCCCCTCTGTGGCTCAGTGGTAAGAGCGCCTGCCTTTAAACCTAAAGGTCGTGAGTTCGAATCCCACCTGGGTGGAAATTTTCGTTTATTAAAAAAATTAATAAATGAAAATAATTTCTATCCTTGTGTGATCGGTACACACCGGAGGGACCGCAGACGTTCGGATACAATTAGCGTCTCTTAGCAAAGACAATAACGTCGACGTTGCTAAGTATCAAGACAATTACTCTACACACACACACACACACACACACACACACACACTACACCTCAAATTGTAAGATTGGCGAATGGATTTAGTGTCCGCAGTCATTTAAACACAAACAAACAACAATTATTATACACCAATTATATACTCAGGTGCAAAAAATTATTTATTAAAGGGTATTATTTGCTGAAAAAAAAAAACGTTTGAAGATATTAGTTTTAAATCAGATATATATGTAAAAGTATATGTTAGATTAAAATAAATTTTACAGATTATCCAAAAAAATTATTTATTTATAGACATACGCCAAACCTCAAAAATACAAGAGTATTCAAAACTTTCTGAAATTAGGAAAAACATTGATAATAAATCAATATCTAGTGTTTCCCCCTCGGGCCCTTATAACAGCCTGTACAAGTCTAGGCATTGAGGTAATTAACATCTGGATTAGTGTTGCCCAAAATCGGTCTTGGTCTTGCAGTCTTGGTCTTGTTCTTGCGTTTTTGCAAGACCAAGACCAAGACCGCCTAATTTTAGCAAGATTAAGACCAAGACTGACCTTGCAAGACTTAAGCAAGAACAAGACTAAGCCTGCGAGACTCTTGCGTCTTGCAGTTAGAACTGAGTGTCGTTTTAGCAAATATAGTAGTTCGGGTATATGCTTAAAGACTCTATAAGACGCACAAAAATATGTAATAAAAATTTAAAAATTTCCCAGCAGACGACTTCTTCGCTCTGGAATTTTTTTTTATTGAATTAATGCCTCGACAACCTCAGGTACCTAGTGTAGTGTGTGTGTGTATGTGTAGAGTAATTGTCTGATACTTAGCAAAGTCGAAGTCATTGTCTTTGCTAAGAGACGCTAATTGTATCCGAACGTCTGCGGTCCCTCCGGTGAGTACCGATCGCACATGGATAGAAATTATTTTCATTTATTAATTTTTAATAAACGAAAATTTCCCTACCCAGATGGGATTCGAACTCACGACCTTTAGGTTTAAAGGTAGGCGCTCTTACCACTGAGCCACAGAGGGGGTTTCGCTCTGGAATTAATTGTCCAGATTTTGATAAAAGATGAAAAATTTATTATTACACTTATAATAAAATTTTATTTAAATATTTACATGTTCATTTAAATAAATAAAATTGCACCAAACTAGAAGCTTTATCTTTAATGGTAAAATACGAAAGTATATTATTTAAAACTGTGAATTTTCTGTGTTGTCAGTTCGGCAATTGATTAAAGAAATTTTTAAATTCCTTTTATCACAGATAGTGTACCGAAAAGGTAACATAATATGTTTTGCGATTACTCGTACGTTGGTGTCATCAATGACGACAAAAAATTACATTATTAAATAACGAAACCTATTGTTTATGATATAAAATATTAGATCTGTTGCTTGATAGTCAAAATTCTGGTCAGCAAAATATTGTATGTCTTTTTAACAAAGGAGTTTGATATTTCAACTTCAAACGACTGCGACTGGTTGTTATTATTTATACTGTTGGTATAATATTTTAAAGCAAAATATCACAATTGTTTTAAAGCAAAATATCACAATTGTTTTAAAGCAAAATATCACAATGTTTTTTCTGTGTATTTACCATTTTGGAGGGATAGACGGTTATTGCAAAGTGACCAACTTATATTTTTACAATTTTGCAAAAACCGTCTAAGCCGCTTTAAGTTATTTTTGTAATAAACTGTTTTTACTTATTTTGCTTTTGTACGTTTTTTAAGGAAGCCTGTAATCATTGAAATGTGAAAATAAAGCCTTATTTTCTAGCAGTCAATTTTTTAAAGTAGGTAGATACATTATGCTCATTGACTCTGAACCATATATATGTGGCTTAAACTATTATTGCAGAATACCATCCTTATAATTCTCGGTTTGTTATTCGGTACTTAGGGTATTAGATAGTACAGTGGCGCACGCAGAATTTTCCTGTGAGGAATAATTTTTTTTTATGCTACCTCCATTTCGAGTCCTTAAAATTTGTGAGGAACAGTGTCGGAATAGTGCCCTGGGCACCCCCCAAAACATCCCTGGGTGCGCCACTGAGATAGTAAAGAACATAAAGTAACTAGTAGTAGTTACTTTTTCGACATCACTAAACTTCATTCCCAATTGAGCTTTTCTTTGAGTCTAATGTAATAATTATTGTTTTCCATCTAATCCTTGTTGTTCTCGGAGTGACAAGTTTACAATTTGACATAATAGATAAAGATTTAAATAGTTCTAGTCGGAATAGTGAAGTTGGAGTTGTAGATCTAAAAGACGTAAAAGCAAATTTGATGAGTTTTTCGAAATAATTCATGCATCCCAAATTTCTTTGTGTAAATTGTGTCTACATAGATAGGTTAAAATAAAAATGAAAAACAGGAACACGTTAGGATTAAGGAAGCATCTAATATATTTTCACAAAAAGGAATTACAAATATTTCTTCCTGAAAATCCAAAATTCGGTAGAGATATCACAAGCTTTTTAATAATCGCTGGAAAAAGTGAACATGTTAAAAAAATATACTTATTACCTTATTACCAATCACATATATTATGTACCTACTAGTTTATTTGGGCAAATTAATGTATTTATTAAGTAGGTATCTCCTTAATTTAAAACAATTCTTTTGATTATCATTGCTTTTTTACCTATCCCTTATTTTTCAAGTTAGTATTTTATATAAAAGTAGAGCTAAGATTGTTAACAACATTTATTTTGCTTTAATAAGTGGATTATAGTTTGTTATCTGATCACCTAAAGAATCTGTGTCCTTGATACATGTGAATTTTTTGTCACATACCAATCTTTTTTAAGAGAGTTATTTAGATAGTTATGATAGTTATGATAGTTATTTAGAGCATAGGCACGGATCGCTTAGATCGTGGCTTCAAACCCCACCGGGTGTCAGTTGTATAGACATTTATTAATTTGGTTGATCTTTATTATGGCTATGTTAATTCAATCTTAAAATGTACTTACTCTCTTACGTTGTTCTCAGATCCAAAGTAAAATTGAATAAATAGCAATAGGCTAATGGGTAACTGCAAGACTTGCAAGACTCTTGCTGCAAGACCAAGACCAAGACCAAGACTAGGAGTGCAATACCAAGACCAAGACCAAGACCAGGTATATTGGTGCAAGACCAAGACCAAGACTGTCTAAGTCTCGTCTTGTTCTTGCATTTGGGCAACACTAATCTGGATATTAAATTCGTCCAATTGGTCCCATATTTATTGAAAAGATGCTGTAGTTCAGCCAAGTTGTTTAGACGGGGTACTCGTGCTGGATGACGTCTTCCCATCATATCCCATAGATGTTCTATGAGATTAAGATCGGGACTGCAAGCTGGCAAGTTTATACTGACAATTCCCACCTCCTCTATATATTGGTTGACGATTCTAGCACGGTGAGTACGCGCGTTGTCCACAAAAATAAAATTAGGTCCAATGAAAGGAGCAAAAGGTACCACATGCTGATCTAAAATACTTGTTATGTATCTTGCAGCAGTCATAGAACCTGTATCTACAATAACTAAATCAGTATGGGCTTCTAAACTGATACCAGCCCAAACCATAACGGAGCCCTCCCGATAACTTATTCTTTCCGCAATATTATATTGAAAATATCGCTCCCCGTGTCTTCTCCAACAATTTCTCGGCCGTCTGTCTGGTGACCTTAGACAAAATTTGGACTCATCTGAGAACAATACATTGCTTCAATCTGCATCACTCCACTAATCATGTTCTCTTGCAAAAGCAAGGCGAGCTCTGCGATGTTCTATGGATAGTATTGGAGATAGGGCTGGCCTTCTGGATAATAAATTAACTTCTACAAGTCGTCGACGAACTGTCCATTTGCTTATATTCACATTTCTCACTTCATTCAGACGATTTGCCAGTACAACTGAAGTTAGATGCCGATTTCTCAAACATGATGAGACCAGAAATCGATTATTTCTTTCGGATGTTACCCTTCTACGACCTGATCCTGGTTTTCTTGTAAAGTTACCGGTGTCGCTAAAACGCCGAACTGCTCTTTGAACCGAAGATCGACTAACACCCAACATTTCAGCTACATAATATTGGCTACGACCATCTTGAACTTAAGTCACTGCCCTTGCAGCATCTGTCGGTGTTAGAGACATTTAGGAAGGATAATTAAATTAAAAATATAACACATTTTGAAAATAAAATCACTACACTAGTATGGTTATTGAATTAAAAACAACATGCAATAAATATATACTTGCTTCAAACCCTTTTTGACAAAAACCTGAAATACCAATTTGTTTTACGTAATATAACAAGGAATATTAAAAATGAAATCGTAGGCTTCCACGGCCAGAGTCAGAATTATAGTTTATTCGTCTTCCGGGTTTGGACCGTTTCATTTGTGAGTGAATTCGGATTCACTCCCCGCCTCTCGACGCGTTAGTGTTCTGAGCTGTTGGACGTGAATCCCTGTCCTGGCATTTGGTTTTCA